TAGTAATCCTACGTCTCTCCACGATCCTAAAACGGAACGCGTGGAAGGTTTGTCTAGCCTGGATCTAGTAGCGTGGAAGTACTGCACTCCACGCTGGCTAAATATCTAGAGCGATGTTTCATCATCAACCTAGTATGACTAGCGCGGTCATTGAGAATCCTGTCTCAAATGACTATTCATGAGAGACTCAGTCATGAGTCGAACTCAAACCCTATCTAGGATCGAGTCGCGAATAAGGCTAAGAGCCGTGTATTGCAAGAGACATGTCTTCTGGAATAATCCATATCCTGCTGGCATTCGTAACACCAGCTGCAGCACAAGAATCGATTAGGACGAGGCAGGAATCTTCCTTGAAACAACCAACAGGAGCTATGGCAAATGTATTGTCAACTCTCGAGTTAACGAAGAAGGTCACTACAATCACTCCCAAAAATGCACTCTGATTGCAACTATTTCTGGTGGACCAAACGGAGCTTGTTGGTTTGACTTCAAATTGAAGGCCAGGACAATGGTCTTGGATACTTACGACTTCCTTGATGAAATCATAGACAATTTGGGGGATGAAGGCATTGGTGGTGCTGTTCCAACCCACACTTTCATTTGTGACAATTTGAGCAGCCACCACCATCCTCTTGTTCGCTCATTAATCCACAACCACGGCCATCATCTGCTGTTTCGAGCTCCTTACAATCCATGGGATGGTCCCATTGGAATACTTTTTTAATTCTTATGTTCAGCAGGAACTGTCCATGAGGATGTATGAGATCGATGATAGCAATCAGCTCCAGCAAGCCATCAATGACATTGTTTTGCAGGCAGGGCAAACACCTGGCATGTTTGACCGGTTCTTTGCTCATTCCGGCTACGACCCCTTATAACTGTGATTGCCCATCATGTCCTTTAGTTTTTATTTTGATGATATATCCGTTGGAATGGTGTCTATTAGTTTTCTCCCCATCGTCATCATCATCTAGAAGTTCCTTGTAAACGGAGTATTCCGAGGTCCTGGGAGTCAGCTTGTGGATTGGCTTGGTGGTACGAAGATAACGCCTCATTTCCCCAGTGGTTTTTGTTTGTGAGGCTCTTTGCCACTGGTAGAGCCATGGGGCTAGTGATAGCTTGCTTTGCTTGTCATCCGGCCCATTGCCTTATCCAAAGTTTCTGACATGGCTATGGGGTGGCTGAAACAAGCCACAGGCCGCAAACCAGCCGCAAGTCATCCACTCGATTCTGAGTGGGGCAGATCATAAACTCCTTCGTACGGCTTGATAGGAAACCGCGCCTTCTTTGCTAGTTGAGCATCTTCGCTCCTCCGACAAACCCAAGCTGTTGTTTCGAGAACGATGGCAGCTCTTGTTGTCTGAAATCGTTCGAGTATCAACTGACACAAAAATATTTAGAGAATCAAATAAAACATCAAAGCTGTAGCTAAAAAAGCTTACAATTTGCAGTTTCCACTCCACCGTACATCAAAGGAGCAGGCAATCGAGTTTTGGTGGTGGGACGTGTAATTTCTCCTCTCATTTCTTGCAAATATGGTTTGTTGTTCGTTGGATCGAACATGCGAGCAACGGCGCGAGCTGCATTAGATTTATCAAGATTTCCAATGTCAGCATGACTCATTTTGCTGGCACCAGGGTTGGTGGCTATGGATGTCAGAGTTTGATTCATGGACTCAGTCGCAATGAAGGATCCAAACACATTGATGGGAAGCTTAAATCTTGAGCTGCTTCTGTTGTTTCATGGCCGTATCGTCGAGTTGCTCTTTCAATGTGATGTGTTCACTTGCTCCGACCACGTAGGAATAAATTTGGCAGATGCACTTGCACAAAGGACACATGGATTTGCCTTCGACAATTGGATAGCGCTGATTTGTCACCGGGTTGATGCACTTGATAGGACACGTAGCATGTGCAGTGAAACTCTTGGCAACATTTGACACAACTGGTAGGGTTTTGGCATTTTGAGTTTTTTCAATTTTGAGTTGTTGTTTCCAGCTCCGCCATTTTGGGAGGCCTCTGCTTGTTGCTTTTGCTCGTATTGTTGGATCTCTGCTAGATATTTCATTTTATTGTCTGCATTTGAGGCTGGCTGGTCAATGTACTCGTGCCCACAGAAGAGGCAACATCAATCCGGCTTTTTCAAAGGATGGACACCACCACTCTTCAAGAATTTCCATGTGGGAGTTTGATCATCAATCTTTATCTGTTTTGCTTTTCGAGCTTCATGCGTTGCATATTTGACCATCTCATCCAGCGGTTCGAATGGTGCTAAAACTGCTCGATTGGGAGTACGGCTTGACGTGTCAATGAATTTTTTCAATACTCTGTGAGTATGGTAGATCTTTTCGGCAAGTACCTCCATAGGCCATCGAGCATCAGTCAATTTTGGAATAAACTCTCGCATGTCAGCCTCAAGCCGGGTTCTATTGAGTCCTCCCGATTTGCAGGCTCGGCCAAACCAATCGTCTCGCTTATCCACAATTGCCTGGAGCAATTTGATCTTCTCAGGTTTGGTTGTGAGAGGTGTGTCCTTTTTCTTCGAGCTATGGATTGCTATGATCGTATCCTCAGATGGCTCAAACTTGTAGACTTCATAGGCCACACCACCAAATTTGCCACCCAACATAGCTGTTTCATTGTCACCTTCCGTTCCATTTGTGGCGGCAGTGGCAGTGGTGGCAGAAGCAGAGCCACCACTTGCACCACTGCCAGTACTACTGCGACGACGGGCTTGATTCAGGCTCATGGTTGGGCAGCCAAGCAAAACCAGGCCTAGCTAGCCAACAAGCCAAACAATACAATGACAACAAGCAACCGGAGCTGGAGTTTGCTGAGTCGGGTGGAAGCTGACAGAACTATCCAGTGCAATGGAAGGGCAAGGAAGGATGGTTCGATGCTGCATGGGAAATATGTACTATTTTACTGTTGAAATGGTATATGGTGTGACGAATTTGACTGTAGAGTTTTTGTGAAATTTCTGTGACACAAAAATGTTCTTCTCATGTCACAGCAATCAATCTTGCTTTACCAAGTCGAGTCAATTCTTCGAAACTAGCTATCTACCGCTAACCAGTATTTGTATCGCGATACTGATAATCTTCTTCTAATTGTAGACTGTTTGATTTGAGCATGGACAATCACAACCACACAGCTGGCCGGTGCATTCAAAGCGGAGAATGCAAGGCATGTACCACCGGATGCACGACGAATTCTGCATGTAACAGAAATCATCTGACAATGTACCGGATAGGCCATCATTGCCACTCAGGTCCAAATGGGCCAGATAGGACAAGGAACTCAACTCAGATGGAACGGTTCCTGTCAGAAGGTGCATATCCATTAAATCTAGGGTCTTCAGGGCCGTCATCGCACCATATTCTGAAGGGATGTGGCCAGAGAATCGGTTGCCTCCCAATTGAAGTAGTTCGAGGATTGAGGATGATTGCAACTTGGTTGGGAGACTTCCAGAGAACATATTGTATTCAAGGAAAAGAAACCGGAGAGCCGCCAGTTCCTGCAGTTCCTTTGGGAATGACCCTGATAGCTTGTTCCTTGGAAGGTTTATACCGCGCATCACGGACAACAGACCAATCTCGCTTGGCAGCGAACCAGTCAGCGAAACATTTGTCAAAGAGAGCCAATCCATGTTTGTAGCCATTCCAATTTCGCTGGGGAGGGAACCTGTCATCATGGTATTGTACATCACAAGGCTAGTCAGCTTTGTTAACAACCCAACCTCACTTGGAAACTGGCCACTTAGAAGGCTCCGCTGCTTATGAATTTGACCCATGTAGCCCAAATTCAAAAATTCCAGGGAAGTCATCAACCAAAGCTCACTGGGAATAGTACCTGAAAGATATGGGTTCAGAAGCTGCATTGTTGTCATGCTGGTCAACAGCCCCAGCTCACTGGGAATTAGGCCCGTGACCAGGTTGTTTACAAGGTTTAGATCCAACAGACCTGTCATCAAACCAAGTTGAGTAGGTAGAGTACCGGTCAAATTTGGACCAATGACGATGGATTCCAAATTTGCTGTGTTGTAGAACTCAGGTGGGAAAATGTCAGCAATCGTCATCTGGGCTCCAAAGAATAGCAGCGTTAAATGTGTCAAGGATGTCAAAAGGGTAATCTCCGGTGGAACAGCAGGCAACAAACCATCCAGCTCAAGATTTCCCAAATGAAGAGAAGTCAGTCTTCCTTGGTTGTCACATGGGAGATTTTGGTGATGAGCTAAAATTTCCTGAAATTTCCCATCCCAGAAGTACCCAAATCCGCGGGAAAACCAAAGGCACTCCTCCTTTGTATCGTCCATCCACCTCTCCCGTACAGGCTGCCACCAGTTTTCTCCTTCAAATGCATAGAAGAATGTGGCCATGGCAAACAACTGCATCTTCCTCCAGTCTGGAAGAAATGTGATGTTTTGATGATTGGCTAGCCAATTCCACGCTTTCCACTGAGGGGTCTCACTGCTACTTGTAAAGATGCTGGCCAAAGTATGGTTGGGTAGACTATCCAAAAGAACAGCCAGAACATCTGTGGGGGCAGACGATGGAACTAGAGAAGGTTCCATAGAAAGGTAGACTGTAGGTGTAGGTGTCTCAGAAGCAGCACTGGATAAATCTTTCCTGCGCGTTCCAGCAACAGCGCCAACAATCGCAACAGCAGCAAGAACAATCAAAATCAGAATGAAGAGGAAGGTTCGTTGCTGTTTCTTCAGCTCTTGCTCTTTGTTCTCTGCGGCTTGCAAATCAACTGGATCGGCGTGCATTAAATCGGCAGCAGCCTCTGGGTCCTCCAATACTGGGTTGGCCACAGCCAACTGATTGTTGCTGACAACTGGCCTTGGAGCAGCAGATGTGCTGATCTGCTCAGTGCTTTGAATAGGAGTGGCGCCTACCAGACTGAAATCAAGATTAGTGGTTCGCTGTTGGGAATTTCCCATGTAAGCTCCCGGACGATCATTCTGTGGGTGGTTTGCTCCTCGGCGTAACCTAGCTGGCAGCAAGATTAGTGGCTCTACACTTTCTGCAATGACATCCCAAAACGAGTGATTCTGTATCCTACCATTGGGCGTGAGATTGATCAGGGTTTCTCTTGTTGGGTCATTAATAGTAGCGGAATTGGACTCAGTTGCTCCGGTGTCCACACCTTCGAGGTTTTGAGTGGAGGCTTGATTTTCTTCTTCCAGAGTCTTTTCAGGGTTCTGGCGGTTTGTTTCTTTGACCTCTTTGGATGTTGGCTTGGCATCAGTTCCTTGCTCCATGGATGGAGAAGGTGTAGATGTTTCGGTTTGGGGCTCATTGACATCACTGTCGTGTTTGCTGGAGTCTTTATTCATGGCCACAGCTACCGGTATGATAGTTGCACTGGATTACTACCACAGGGAGCAAGAGGCAAGTTATGGCAGCAGGAAATGAAGTTTTGAGCTCTCTTTGTTTCGGAAGAAATGTCTTTGATTTCGACAACCGCTGCATGACGACTGCTGCATGTGAACACTGTGGTGCCGCAAAAGGACCCGAGTGACTCAGTCATGGAGTATTTTAAAATACCGGTAGTGTGATCGTACAGTATCCGAACTATTGCCCTGAAATACCCGTACTGATCCTAAACTATTGCCCTGAAATACCCGTACTGATCCTAATAAGGACTCAATAGTCAAAGGACAGCCCAAAAAACCGAAGAACCCTCTTTAGGGTTCCAGGGGAAGGCGGAAATGAATTTTGGATTTAAAGGAGAGATAATAAAAATGAAAAACAACCAGTCGTACTCAAGAAAGGTGCGCTGGAATCGAATCGCTCCTCACTATGCATACTAGTACATACATTATTTAGTCAGCAATGCGACTTTATCACGTCTATCAGCCTAGCAGTACCAGGCACCTGGTACCGGTACCTGTAGGAAGGTGAGCTGAAAGCTGAAGGTGTTACAGTAGCCTGGGCCAGGAATTGGTCCACTGTTCCGGTCCACCTGTGAGCATTCTTGGGTTGTTGGAAGCTTTCTGTCGTCCATCGCTTGACGTGCTTGTAGGAAGTTCTACTAGCTAGCCAGCGATAGATACGGTAGCGGATACATGTACAGTGTTACAATGGTTGTAATCTCAAATCATCTCTTCTGTCAACAAAAGAAGCCAGCTAGGCGGTTTTGTGTGTGCGGAATTCGGTTTCTTTGGGTCAAGGCCTCCGTCCAGGTACCACTGGTACCGGTACCCAGTTTTCAACCCCTCTAATGTGACAGGGAATTGCCTCAACCACGCTTGAGAAATTCCTATTGATGTTTGGTATTTCAGATCTGTAAGCAAGGAAGCAAAGAAGCAAGGAAAGAAGCAACATGCAAAAAACTTAGCAGCAGTTCAAACACTGCCGCTAATACCGGTAGCTGTCGACTTACCCTGGCGGTCCGCAACGTCCACGACCCGATCAATCATATCTGTATTATTCACAGCCCGTCTTCCCCTGAACCTTTCATACATTGGATCATGGTAATCCAAGTCGACCATTTCAATGGGCCGTCCAATGTTAGTACGGTAGGTGTCTTGATCAAATGCATCCAAAGGCCAGGTCGGCCAGAATTTTCCTAGCGGCCTGCAGTAGTGCTCGAAAAGCTGCTTGCTCGGATCCACACCGATCACATCAATGCCGAATCGAATCGAATCGAATCAATCTATAGATTCGAAGGTTGTGGTGTTCTCGTATACTTGTCTTCTGTTGACTTTCGTTTTTCCATTGCTCACGTGTTTGACATGCCGTCGTTTTGTGGGTAGTTGGCCTTTTCCGTTCCTTCATCGGCGCATCCCGTTGTTCTAAGCCAGCTAGTAGAACCAATTACACTGTACAGTAGTGACCTTCTATTGAATTATGTTAAGCACTCGACTGCTCCTCCTTCTTGCGAGCACTCAAAGACTGTAGCACTTGGACTGCTTTTCGTCCCATTTCGAGTCCGCCGGAAACAAAAATGTGGTCATGATAGAACCCTGCCATGACATTGGCAGATATTCCGTGCTGGCCCAGTTCGGTGGCAAACGCAGCCGTAAGCCCCACAGCATCCAGGGCGGAGTGAATCTGCAGCGTAATCATTCCCATGGGTTGGCTGGATTCTAGGATTAGTTCCTTGGGAACTTGAGACGTCAGGAATTCCTCGGTGCAGTATACGGTCATGCCCTCCTTCTCCTGAAACAGTGCAATCACAGAGAGGTTGGTGTCGTCTAAGAGAGCTCCCACGAGAGTCTTTCGAGTCGTTTCGTCCGTTTTCAAGCCACAATACGACATCGACGCAAAGACGTAGGCTTGTGATTGGAGCTCAGGAATCATATTGGCCAAGAGCACGTCCAAGTTCTTTTCTCCACTCATGAAAAATCTCTCAATCTCTAAACTAAAATCGATTAGGTTCCTACAATCAAGTTGGTTGGAGAACAACGCACTTCAAGATTTCTGCGAACTGTGGACACTGGCTGTGCTACTGGTACCGGTAGCTAGCTGCCAGCATGGAGCATAGAGTGTGAATGGGGAGGACCTGGCAAGATATCGCACTCGAGCGACCAGCGTCTCGATGCTTGGCTGTCATTGTCTCGACTTTTACTCGACTGAATCATTCGAAACGAATCGAATCATGAATTGTACACGACTGAATCGAATCGAGTCGAATGAATTGAATGATTCAATCGAATCGAATCGAATCACAATCGAACTAATGGATGGGCTTGGAATCAAAAATCCTCGTTGCTCTCCCGGTATGCCCACCGCAGAGTTTTAGGGGGGGTCAGGCACCAGCGCGGGGGAGGGAAAAGAAAAAGAAAAGGGAGAGGGTTAGTGATTGAGGTTCCCGATTCCCACCTGGAGAGCAGGCAGGGCAAACCTCCAGGTAGGTACAAGGTGACAGCCAGTAATGGTAGCCAGCCAGGACAGGGGCGACTGGATCCACCAAGAACTATACCTTGTTCACTTCTGATACCAAGCCAGCGTAGAGAACTGTGTTGACAAAGCCTCACTTGGTGATCCCCTGCACTGGAAGACATGTATGACACCATCCTACCATCACCCAATTCCAAGCACAGCCTCCCAGAGTCACTATCAAGGAGAGGAGAATCAAGTTAGAAGCGTTCCATGACAAGTTTGCCCATTTTGGCAATGGTGGAATGAGAGAGCATTGCTGATGCACTCAACTTGGCTGGAACTGAAGATACAACCTCAAGATTAGACACAAGAGAGCCTTCCTGTCAAGAATCAGTCTGGGCAGAAAGGAGGTCAATTCCACTGGATGGGAAAAGGTTGTATCCTACTGGAACATTCAGAAGTTGGCTTACCTCAATGAGCTAGCAGTGGCTGTGGGTCTCAATGAACCATTTCCTACTGCAGAGCCACTGCCACAGGATAATGGAGAGAGGTTCTTTTCAGAGTTCATTGTTGATTCAAACACAACGGCAGAAGTATGCTCCAAATGATTGTTGTCTTTTTGCAGCTTGCACTGGAGCACACCGAGTCCACCAGCAATCATCACCAAGTCCACAGCATCGATCCACGACTGCAACGCAATGTTCCATGCCGCCAACCACCACCGCCGCCACCACCACTCCACCACTGCAGTGCACAAACAGAAATGTTTATGTTGGTAATATGATTCTATACCAGCAACAAAACAAATTCAAATGATGCAACTTGCCATGCAAATGCGGCAATTCCAACCAATACTGCCTTCTCCTTTCCAGCAACCATCCACCGAATGGCTGCTGTCAAAGATACTGCCAATGGTTACACAGGAGAGGAAGACACCCCATGATGCCTATTGCTATCTCGATTGGCGGTATGCTGGATAGCAAAACAGATAAGTTTTAGATGGATCAAATTCATTTCTAATGTTGCCATTAACTTACATTAAGTTCACAATGTACAGCATGGTGGGGTTGCAAGAATCCAAGGTTGTGAATGTCTTAAATGCAATCATCAACAAAAGTCTCACTCATCAAAGTCGATGTCTTGAAGGAGATTTTATTGTTGTAGTCATACCATTGGCAACAATACCCATGCCAAGCATCCATCACATATCTGTCTTCATTGGAGTAAAAGTCATAGCTGCTATCCATAATCATTTCCTTGACTAACCAATAGATGCACTCAATGAAGATGTCCTTCCTTTCACAGGATTGGCCCTCCAACATTTCATAAAGGTTAGCAAGAACAGTACTGTGCCATTTTGGGCTCTTCTGAAGTCCCATTCAACATGTATCCATGATGCCGTCATGTCAGGAGAAGAGGCTTGCATCTCCTTGAGATCATCTCTCAATGTGCCATGCATTCCATCGGGCGACACAATGAAATTCTGTTGTTGGGCTCCTTCTCTTCCCAAAAATAGTACTTGCAGGTAATCCATCCTTGTTGCCATACTCATGAATGGGTATCTGAAACTTAGCAGCCACTGCGAGAAGTGGGGTATTGCGATCCTCATTGTCGAGTTCTTGTTGTTGGTAGTGGTGTCGGTGCTGTTCGACGTTGTTATCTTCGACGTTCACGTCGATTTTTAAAAAATGGGAGGGTGTGGTGCGAGCAGAGGAAAGAAGAGTCCGTTACTTCCGTTAAATGATTAAATTCATGTCACGATTTGAATCACACTGACGTATTTGCTGACATATAATTGTTCTTCAGACATGATACATCGGTATTTGAGAGAGGGGAGATGATTGTTTTCGTCCGGTCATTCCAACTCCCCTCAATTCTCTAAGTAAATTGGTGTCGTTGCGTCTGGA